TTCTGGATACCACCTTTGAAGAGAGCCATAGCAGACTCTAGACCGGTGATCAGGGAAGTTGAGGAAACTGGGGACATTTCTCCTGAGGAAGAGAGGACTTGGCTGGGAGTGAGAGTAAGGAGTTGCTTACGAGCTCTCTTTGATGAAGGGCTGCCATTGTGAGACAGAGCACCGTAGACTCCAGAAGCAAATTGGTATCCAGAGTGAATGCTATAGGAAGCCTGACTTTGTGGAGCTTAAGAATTAATGTACAAAAACCCTATCAACCAATAATGGAATGGGAGCCTCAGGAGGCACTGATCTTGCCATCTCTGGTGTTATTATTATGCATGCCTAATAAGTGTCTAGTATTTTATATGCATCATCTTACTTAATAAGGGAGTTAATTATTTGACAAGTGTTTGGAACAGTGCCTGGCACATGTGAATGCTCAATCCATATTAGCTATTGTTATTATTATTAATCCATACAAAACCTTGTTTTGAAAGAGAAATCATTTATTCCCACTTTACAGAAAAGGAAACTGAAGATCAGGAGGGTGACATACCCAGTCGCAACATTAATCATTGGTGCACCTGAATTTGAGCCCAGGACTGCCTGACTGCAAAATTCACCATTACTTCTTAGGTTTGGTGAGTGGTTGGACTGGAGGCTTTCCCATCTAAGGCTCTATTCCTAAACTGAGCCTCTTGTCCATCCAAGATCTCCTTTGAAATGATCTTATTATTTTTGAAACCTCTACATGACAGGGTCTTTGGCCCCTTTGCCAGTCTCCAGTGTCATTCTGGAGGCCACTCAGTTATGAGCTACACGTCTTGCCTGTGTCGGCTCAGGACTCGTCCAGCTGACATGAAGCAAGCTAACTCCCCCAGCCTTCCACTGCTCTCAAACTGTTCAGAGAAATGGGTGGAAGGAGAGGCTCCAGGCTCTGCTGGTCTGTCCGAGGCTTAACTTTAACTCCTGAAGGTGTAGTCACAGACTCTCCAGATAACCCAGAAGGAGAGCCAGCTTTATTTTTAATTTGGTGGGGGACCCTGCCAAGTCACTTTGCCTCTTTCTGGTGTAGACCGTTGGCAGCGGCCTTTACCTCTGACAGATGACATCCTCCTCAGTCATGGAAGGATATCCTCAAGGGGAGGCCTGAAGGCAGAGGCATGTGCAGGAGTTTGGGGTCAGGCAGACTGGGCTTGGGCTCCGTGACTGCCTCTGCAGAGCATCATTAGGCCTTCACTTAATCCATCTGGACCTCAGTATCATAATTTGCAAAACTGGGATCCTACTACCTATTTTTCAGGCAGTAGTGAAGATTAAGATGATGCATACCAAGGTGTCTGGCTTGGAGTAGGTAGGTGTTTAATAAATGGTAGCTATTATTATTTCTCGAACTGTGTCACCAGACCACATTTGATGCCTGAAACCCAATTTTATGGTTTAAAAAACATGCCTTGTAAAAACAGAAAAGCATCTTAGATTCATTCAGCTCATCTTTTTTGGTGCCATCATTCATAACTTATCCATTAAAAAAAAGAAATGAAAACAATGTATTTTTTAAAAAAACAGCTGAGCTACTTGGTTGTAAGAAACATTTCAATGTAAACATGAAAGAGAACTACACAGGAGATGTTTATAAAGATGGCTTGATTTTTTTTAAAGAAAAAAAGTAAGAGAAGACCTCCCTTTCTGGGAGCTAGAGTAGAGGCACTATGGATAACAGGTCAGACTGGGAACAGGATGTTGGAAACTGGACCCCAGTTCCTGGGAGGAGGCAGCTGTGGGAGGCCAGATCTGAGTAGCTGGCACCAGGGTGATGGGGGTGTCCAGCCCAATATGGAAGGAGGACAGACAACAGAGGAAGGCCTGGTTAGCTGCCCAGTGTTGAGACACTGCTCCAAGGGATGGGTGTCCTGCGAATAGGCAGCTGGATGGACCATGGAGCCCCCCAAAATCCTCAGAAAGGGAAAGAGCATCATATTTCTACACAGCTCCAACTGCTAAGCTAGGGTTTGGAGACTGGCTTCTGGTTCTTGTGTGTAGGGAGAAGGCATGGGAAAAGGATTGTTAAGGAGGCAGGATTTGGGGAAGAAGATGAGAATTTAAGCCATACAGACTGGGCTGACATCTGTGTTGTATCACTGTCTAGGATGTACCCCTGAGCATGCTGCTTTCTAAAGTTTCTACTACCTCTCTTGTAAGGTAAATGAGCTTGTGAGAATCAGAGTTTACCATAGTCCTGAGACTTGGCATTTGCCAGTGCACTTTATTCCCGTTAATAAGAACAACTGTTAACCTAGCCACTTGTCCTCACAGCCTCTTGCCTGCTCCCTGGTTCTTGCCATCACGTGTGGCTTAGTGTAATAGCCTGCTAACTAGTCTCCCTGCTTCCACGCTTCCCCTGACCAGCCGATGCTTCACTTGGCTGCCAGAGTGACCCTGTTAAAGTCAGACCATGTCACTGCCTCACTCAGTACCCACCAGTGGTTCCTCACTTCACCATGTGCTAGCCGAAGTCCCTGTAATGCCTAGGTCCTACCTGATCTTTCCTACCTCTGACCTTGGCTACTACTGCTTTTCCCTGTGGCTTCCCCACTGTCCCTTGAACATGCCAGGCCCACTCCTGTCTTGGAGGCCCTGCCCTTGCTTTTCCTCCACCTGTAACATTATTTGCATATTTTGCTTACTTTCAGACCTTTGCTGAAAAGTCATCTCAGTGTGTCCTTCCATGACCTTCTATTTCAAATTGCAGCCCAACCCTGTCAGTCTCAATCCCCTTTCCAGCTTTATTGTTCTCCATAGCACTTTTTTATACACTGACATACTAGAAATTCTTATTATTCCTGTTTATTGTCTCTCTTTCTCCACTAGAATGTCAATTTTATGAGAACAGGGATTTTAGTTTGGCTTGTTTATTCCCGTATCCTCAGCTCCTATGATGCCATCCAGCACATAGTAGATGCTGCAACATATTGGTTGAAGGAATGAATGATTATTATAAAGCAAGAGGCTAGACTCATACTCAAGAGGAACTTGGAGTTGAGGCTGGTGACCAAGGTACAAAATCAGACCCAGGACACATGCCAGGGATCCAGTAACCCAAACTGGAACACAGGCCAAGTCAGGATCTGGGAACCAGAGGGATGCCTAGACATCAGGAGTGGAGCATGAGATCAGAGTTTGGCATGGAGCCAGGCTGACAGCCAGAGTGAGGCCAGTGTTCCTTGGGTCAGGACTAGTCCTAGGTCACATGTGTTGGAGCCAGGTCACCCCATGGTGGAGATGGAGATGCTGAAAGGAAAGTTTCCAGGCAGGGCCTTCAACCACTTAGTAAATGTCAAGCAAAGTTAGGCCAGCTTTCAACTTACTCCCAGATGTAGGTGTCAGCAGATACTCCATATTGGCACAACTTTTAAGGAAAACGCAAATGGCTAAGGGAAATAAAAGGAAAAAAAAGTGCAAATGCTTATTCAGAAACCTGAGCTAAGTCGAGGGATGACAGATGCCAGAGGCCTATAACTAGAGGGTATCTGTAACGTCAAGTGAGACAGCAGCCGAGTGTGTAGGGATTACACTGTCCTCTGGACCATGTATTTGGTGGAGATGCTCAGAGGGTGAGCTCTCCAGACTGGGGAGGATGAAACGCTAAGGGATGCCAGGGAAGTGGTGTCTGCAGAAGCCTAGAAAGAGGAGTTGGGACAGGGAGAGTTTGGCCTGGCTTCCCCAGAGCTGTCCAAGGTATTCTCCAGGAGCTGGACTCAGCCTCCCTTCTCTGTCTTCATGCTTCCTGGTAACTTAGCCTGTGATTCAGGGTTGCCCCTGCCTCAGTCCAGAAAAGGGAGTCTATGGACATCATCTGGTCCAACTCCTTCACCGCATGCCTGAGGGACCTGAGGTCCAGAACAACCCAGAGTCAGGGCAGTGCCTCTCCTGTATGGGAAGCTGTTCCCCATTCTGGCTCCCACTGACTGTGTAAAGAGCTCCTGCTGGCTTTGGCTCCCAGTCCTCCCTTAGTAGCTCTGTGTTCTTGGGCAAGCACTGGAACCTCTCTGAGCCTCAGTGTATTCACCTATAAAGTGAGGACGATAAACACAGTACTTAGTTCATAGGGCAGTTGTGAGGATTACATTACAAGGCTTGTAGTAAGTGCTCAGTGAAGGTTAAACTCTCAACCTTGTTACAAGGTCATTGCTCTCGCCCATGATGTTTGGCTCAGGCTCAAGGATGTTTTCTGATTTGGTATCTTACTGGGTCACCCTCATTAATTACCCCTTGGGATTTTATATTTTAATGACCATAATTCCTATTCAAGCATGGAGAGGCATACGGAGCCCAAGGCCCTACGTCAGATCACAGGACTGATTTGCTTAAGGTTAGCCAGTGCGACCCAGCAAAGAGAGGCCAGGTCCGCCCTGCCTGAGGACAGTGTGCTGCCTGGGACAGAATTTTAGGGCGGGTAGCTCTTTGGGAGTGAGGACGCGAGGGAGGTTAAATGCCTGGAAGGGGCAGTAGCACAGGCAAGATAAGGACCCTAGTCTCCTCTGGGGTCTTGTGGGGAAGGGGTTTGGGGGGCTCTCAGCTAAGACCCTAAGAGCTGGACACCCTGGCACCAAGGGGTGTTCGAGCGCATCTTCCGGCCGTCCCTTCGGGCTCGGTCAGGGACCCAGGACACCCGTGCAGAACAGGAAAGCATAGGCTGCAGGTGCCTCTAGGACGCCTCCGCGGCACGCTCACAGTCCAGACCTTCCCAGACAGACCTCGGAGAAGCAGTCCCAAACCACCGTGCAGGTGCTACAGGAAGCGCCCGGCGCAGCGGCAACGGCCGCTGTCTGTGCCAAGCACGCAGTACTGGTTCCCCCGACCGCTGCCCCGGGCGCTCAGGTCCCCGGCGGTCGGCGCGCAGCGGCAGCCCGCGCGGCGGAGGGCCGGGGGCGCGTGTGTGCGTGCGCTGGGAAGACGGCCCTCCCCGCGGCCGCCGCAGCGCCAGCGCCTACCCCTCCCGCGGCGCGCACGGCCCGGCCCCGTCCCCGGAGGCGGCCCGAGCCGCCGCTAAGCAGCCGCGCCTTCGCCTCCCGCGTTTCCTGCCGCCCGCCCTCCCCCGGCCGGGCTCCAGGGGCTGCCGCGGAGCGGCTCCCGGCGGGAGAGCAGCTCAGAGCGCGCACGGGGGCGGACGGAGGCGGCCTGGTTCTGGGCGGCCGCGGCGGGAGAGGCGCGCGCGGAGACGCCGGCCCCCCTCTCGGCGTTTGCTCCCTCGCTCCCCGCCTCCCGTACTCCGCTCGCTCCCACCTCTTCCCGGCGTGATTGATCCGTCACGGGCGCCGCCGCCGCGGCCGTTCTGAGCGGAGCGGAGCCGGAGCCCGAGCCCGAGCCGGGGCTGGGGCCGGCGCCATTGCGCGGGCGCCGCGGGGAGAGCGTGGCGCGGGGCGGCGGACCGGGCCAGGCCATGCGGGCCGAGTGAGCCGGCGCCCGCAGCCCGCGGCGCGGCATGGCTTCCCCGCGGAGCTCCGGGCAGCCCGGGCCGCCGCCGCCGCCGCCCGCGCGCCCGCTGCTGCGCCTGCTGCTGGCGCTGCTGCTCCCTCTGGCGCCCGGGGCCTGGGGCTGGGCGCGAGGGGCCCCCCGGCCGCCGCCCAGCAGCCCGCCGCTCTCCATCCTGGGCCTCATGCCGCTCACCAAGGAGGTGGCCAAGGGCAGCATCGGGCGCGGCGTGCTCCCTGCGGTGGAGCTGGCCATCGAGCAGATCCGCAACGAGTCGCTCCTGCGTCCCTACTTCCTCGACCTGCGACTCTACGACACAGAGGTGAGTGTCCAGCAGCCCGCGCCGTCGGGGCTGTGGGGGCCCATGGGTGAGGGCGTGCTGGACAGGGGCAAGCTTCAGCCCTTGGGCAGAGAGCCCGGGTGACCGGCTTGTGCCTGCCGAGGGCGCCGCGGGCTGGTGCTCAGTGCTTACACGGGGTCCTGCCGGGCTCGGCCGGCATAGCTGGTACCCAGATTTGCCGAGCATTTCCTCCTCTGGGACTGTATGTGTGCGTTGTATGTGTTGGGTGTGGGGTAAAGACTAGCGTTTGCTTTGACCAGAGAAGGAGTGGGAAGGTGGGGATTGGACCCCCAAAAGGCCTGCAGTGGTTGCCCCTGCCCAGGTCCGGCTGATGGGGCTGTGGATTGCCGAGTGGGAGGAACAGGCGCATTGACTAAACTGGGCCACCTGCGCTAGAGAGGCCACAGGCCTGCTCTCGGCCCCCAGGAAAGCCGCGCCGCACCTGGAGGTCCGGAGAGCTCCGGGGCCCGAGGGGCCAGAGCGCGCAGCAGCGCTGGGCTCCTGGTGCGCGCCAGCCGCTCGGAGCCGGCACCGCGCGGGCAGGTGTGGGGCCGCCGGCTCCGCAGCGCTGCTGCCCGGATGAGCCCGGCGCTGCCTGTAGCGGCGCGGTTTCATGAGGAGTCTCGCCGTCGGTTTAATTGCACAGAGAGTACCCCCCTGACAGGTGTCGCCCCGGACGTGCGGGGGTGTCCGGTCGCGCCGCTGCTGGCCCTGCGGCTACTGGCCCTGCGGCTGCAGGCGCAGTTTTTACGGTCGCAGACTTGAAACCTGGACTTGGAGCGCAGAGACGGGCTTGCTCCCCGGCCCCTTTCTCTGAGGGGAGCCTAAGACCCGAGAGCTTCCCATCCCAAGACTTCTCACGCCCTCTGTTTGGGTTCCCGGCTGAAGCCCTAGCGCGGACCTTCACCGTCGCCCGGGTGCTGGGGTGCGCCGACCGGGCGTGGAGGAGTGTCTGCCGGCCGCGCGAGGTCGGCTTACGAGTTTTTCCGGACCGAGGGGAGCCCCTACGCTCGGGCTGCAGCCTGAAGGGGGCAGTGATTTCTTGTTCTGCACGCGGGGTTCGTGCTTCTTCCACCGCGCCAAGCCCGGTCGAGGCGCTGGGCTTGGCCCTGGCTCCCCGGGAGCTTCAAGAGGCCAGGTGCAGCCCGCTTCCTAGAGGAGGGTCGCGCCGCCGCGCTTATCGTGCAGTCTGGCCTCGGCTTCCTTCTGTCGGTTTCTCTCTCTCTCTCTCTTTTTTGTCCCCGGAGAAAGAGCAGAAATCTGGATTGCATCTTATTCCCTGCCACCCCCCCTCACTGATGAACCGGGCTGCTCTGCACTGTAAATAAAAGGTGAAGGAACGAGAGGCAGTTGGCGGCGCGCGCAGGCTGCTGCCAGCGGAGTGCCTTCCTCTGCCCCAGGAGGATGCACACTGGGTGGCTGAGCAGAGGTAACCCGGGTGTAGAATCATTTCTGAATGACATTCCCGTCTTTGCGCGAACATTTCAAGTTCTCTAGGGTATTTGTTCGGCACACATAAGTGGAGAAGGCAGCACAATAATACCAAGGCATGTCTTCTCTGCACTGTTTGTTGCTTCCATACATGTTCTTTTGGAGAACAGGAGAGACAGTTCTTTGGAGACAAAAATATTTGTAGACAGGGCAGCCCTGTTTGCATCATCATCAAATATTGCCAGCTGCATAATGTGTTCATCACCAGTTTATTCCCTTCAGAAAGCTGCTCTGAAAGAGATTTTATATTAGCTTGTTTGTGGCTAATGGGATGGGTGCTTAGTTTCAGGGTGTGGGCTGAAGCTTTTATATTTTATTTTTCAAGTGTGTCTTGATGACTTTCTGAGTGAAAGGGCCCAAAGGCAAGAGGAGGAGGCTCTGCAGCTGGTGGGAATCCGCCAGAAGCCGTGGGGAGGAAGGCAGAGGGTAAGCTCTACCTCAGGCACACAGGAAGCATCTCTAGCCCTGCAAGGAGCACAGAGCCTGGGCTTTGGGGTGGGTTGGACCTGGGTTCTATTCAGAAACTGGTTATCCTCCCCCTAGTGACCTTGAACGAGGAATCTAATCTCTCTGTGCCTAGATTTGCACATCTGGAAAAGTGGGACTATTATGTGTACTCTGCAAGGCAGTGATGTAGCGCTGAAGGGAAATGACAGGGCAGCGTGGAAAATGCCATGAGCTGGTGGGTTTGGTGGCCAGTGTTCTGTCAGCATGCTGTAAGCACTAAATAAATGTTTCCTGCCTCCCTTCTTTCATTTGCTTTTGGGGTCAATTCACAAATTAAACATTGCAAGTTTAGATGTGATAAATTGGTCACAACTAAAATATTGAGACTCATTAGTTTTCCCTCACTTTTGAAATCTCATGAAATCTCATCAGGAGTCAGTGAAGCTATCACCAGAAAAAAAGAATTCTGGCTTATAATCAAATAAATATGTTATCTCCTGCCATGAGGTGTCACATTTGAGAAACACCTAGGTGACCTAATACTTAAAATTTTCAGGTGGCCCACATTTAGAGTAGAGGTACTTTGTCTCTCAGCTGAAGTAAAGGAGAGATCAGCCTGGGTAATTATAGCAAAATCCATAGTGATGTGAAAGGTATTTGGGGCCTGTGTTAGAGTGTCTGGGGTCCATGTTATTCAGATGGGCTTTTTGTGGATTGTGTGCACCCCCTAACCGCCTGCTGTCTGTGTCACTTGTGTCTGTAGACTTGAACACAAGATGGGTGTGGTGGATGGATTTTGGTTAGCTTTGCTGACATTTCCTGTCACTTAGTGTGGGCAGCCAGGATGGACCTTTGTTCACAGTCTTCAAAAAGATTGAGATTTAGCAAGGAATGGGTTCATCTGATCATTGGGACAGTCTGTCCCAAAGTAGCTTCCTGAATACATTTATCCAGGTTGGCCCTCTACTATACTGGAATAGCAATAGAATATTCAAAGCCCCGCTTAGTACCTGGTGTTTGTAAAAAGAAATATCCCAACAGAGCATCAGCTAATCAGTATCTCTTTCCTCTGGTGTACCTCAAATCATGTCAGCAAATACTTCTTTATGTATTGCAAGGGAGATTCAAGTATATAAAAACATGAGCAAGACAACTGAAAACATAGAAAAAAGGAAGCATCAGAAACCATAAAGAAATATGAATGTTACTGTACCAAGAACCTGGACTAAGATGGTTATTGTATTATTGAGTATAAATTTTAGCTCTGAACTTCCTGGCAGTCAAGGTAAAAAGATAAATATGGCAGATTATTACTTACATGTTTGGTTAAGAGACTCTGAGGGACAATGTCTTTTTTTAAAAAGTTTTACAAGAGATTCAGAAATGTTCTTCATATAGTTGTTTCTCATGCTTTGGTAGCCACATTAATAAAATTAAATGATAACCAAGAAATAAATTTAAAAAATAATGGTGGGCTTTCCTATTTGATTAAAGTAATGTTCATTTTAGAAAAATTAAAAACTACAGGGAAGCAGGAAGAAAAAATAATTGCCCATAATGCACCTACACAAAGATAATTACACATAACAATCAGCATTATTCCCTTCCAGTTGCCTGTGTTTACTATTTTATGTGCCTGAGATCTTATTCTAAGTTCCCTTGTATATTGTGTTGCATTCAGTTAACATTATATTATGGATCTCTCTTTGCAAGGATGATTTTTAGTGGCTGTATACTATTCTATGCTATGGTTCTACCATAAGTATTATGTCCAGCCCCTATTGTTGGATTTATATGTTTTCCCACTTAACATTTTAAATTATTCTGTAATAAAATTAGACAAAGTCCAGGGAGCCAAAAGAGCACTTTCCAGGTGTGTACTTCTCAGAAGGTATTCCGTGATGCAGGGACCCAGCTTAGAAAATCCAGAGAAAACCTAGGGATGGGAGATGCACATCTTTTCCTTGAGTGGCTTTGCCAAATATCTGTCCTCTCATTCATTGGGCTTTAGAAAGGACCCAAACCACTTTTGAATGGAGGCCAAGCTTTTCAAGGATGGTGATGTACAGCTCAGCAGGAATTAATTGAGCACCTACTACAGTTGCTGGTGCTGCAGAAAGGGGGAAACCCAGCCTAGGGCTCAAGAGAAGAGCTGGTGCATAGGGGAGAATAGGGTAAACACATGTATGTCATTTTCAATGCAAGATAGAAAGTGTTTGGGGTGATGGCTGCACAATTCTGTGATTATACTAAAAGCCATAGAATTGTACACTTCAAAAGAATGAATGTTATAGTATGTGTATTATATCTCAATAATGGTTGTTCTTAGAAATAAAACAATAGAAAATGAGCTTTTTTAGGATCAAGCTGACATCCTCTTTGTAGTTTTCGCCCCACTGCCCAGCACAGTACCTAGTCCTCAGTAGGTGTATTGCTTAGGACTATTGTTACAAGTGACAGAAACCTAACTTTAACCAGTCCATGTGACTGAAAAATCCTGGAGTTGCTGTGTTCAGGCATGGTTGGATCCAGGAACTCAACTGATATCTGAAAAAATACGTTTCTCTCTCTCGGCTCTGATTTCTTGTGTTTGGCTTCACTGTCAGTCAGGCTGTCCCCATGCCGTTGTACAGATGGCCCCTAGCAGCTGCAAGTTTATGCACTCCCAGTTTAGAAACTCCGGTAAGAAGAGTGTTTCTTTCCTAACTGTCTCAACAGATATCCCAGGCTCAGCTCTTATTGGCTTGAACTGGGTTATGTGTCCATCCCTGAACCGATCATATGACACTACCAGACCTGGAACATCTGCCAGCCTTTCAGGGAGGGAGTGGGTGCAAGGTCAACCCTACCTAGCCACATAAATATAGAGGGGGAAAAAGATAATTCCTGAAAGACATCAGAGGCTGTTAAAGGGGTGTGGATGCCAGGCTGGTCTGATCACAGATATCCACAAAGACAGGCCATTGGGAGACGCCAAATTCTGGAAAGAAACAATAGATGCCATGGGTATTAAGAGAAAAGGAACATCATACCTGGGTCAAGAG